GTAGACTTATTTATACTAGTGGTAGAGTTATAATATGTGGTAGACTTATTTATTGTAATGTTAGATTTATTCAATCTTTTCACTTCTTTACTAAAACAACCTTACACTTGTTTATAGTAGTGGTAGATGTATTTATAGTAGTGGTAGATTTATAATATGTGGTGGACTTATTTATAGTCGTGGTAGTGGTAGATTTATAATATATGGTACACTTATTTATAGTAGTGGTAGATTTATTCAATAAAAGGTAAAATCGTAATTTACCTTTCATCTTCTTCACAAAACACCAAGATTTTTTCAAACCCTAACAATGGTGGCCAGCCATTTTTTAGCTCGTTTTATTGTATTTTAACTCGTTTTCAACTAGATTTTGCCTAAAACTAGTAGATCTAACATCATACATCTTTTTTCTAACAAAAAATCAAAAGATTTTGAGTTTTTTTTTCTAACTTTTGATTTTTAATCCGATTTTTACCTAAATTTCGGTCTCCACACCTCCGCGGAGCACAATCCGTTGCTTCCGCAGCCTCTGCGGCCGTGGTATCAAACAAATATTTGATTTTTTTTTTTTTTTTACAAATAATGAATATCATTTTCGTAAGAAAAACTTGTTACTAAGATTTATTTGTCTTTTATAACTTGTATTGAGTTTCAAGATTGAATAAAAGTTGTTCTAGTAATTAACTTACTTTCCAAAATTGTTTTGTTTTAGTAATTAAAGTGCAATGAACCTTTATATTGACTATATATATAGTTTATGTAGAGTTTATGCAATGAAGCAAAAGAATCATATATCTATAGAAAAGAAAAGAAAGTGCTCATCAATTAGAGGCTACAAAAGGTTCTTTGAGACAAAGAATATGAAATAAATGATGGGGTAAATGAGAAACAAAAAATCCTTTTGTGCTTTTATTTATGGTTTATTATTATCTCCAAGCTCCATGTCTTTCAAATTCATATGTTCTATACCTTCTTTGAGTAGCCTAATCTCATCTTCAGTCATACTGTTCTTACCGTGCGGCGTCACTTTTGGCTTTCTCTGTTTCTCTAACTCGACAGCCCAACTGTAAATCACCATTCCCACCACCGCTAAGATCATCCCTGCTATGTTTTTGAATGTCATCTCCGAGTCGAACAGAAGCCATCCTAATGTTAGGACACAGACTGTTTTCATGTGACCAAGTACTTGGAATGAAGTAGCCGAGAATCTTCCAATGCAGAGATACTGGCTTATGTTGCAGAAAACCGCTAATGCGCAGGAGAGAAGAATGCATAACTGCATATGTGTGCGATGGCTATCAATTAGAGTTGGAACGAAGAAAAGGTCTCGGGTTTTATAAACGGGGATCAGGAGATTTTTTGGATACTTACAATGGCACCATAAGACATCTTGTAAGTAGAAATGAATCTGCCGCTCAAGAAATAGTCAACAAATGGACCAAAGATGAGGAGTGAAAGCGCTTGGATTGGTGCCGTCTTGCTCAGCAACTCGAAAGATCCTATTGAGTATTTCTTCTGCAGTGAACCTATTGACTGTTTCCAGAGAGATAATTCATCAGAAACACTTGAACATCATCATCATCAACAAAGATTGAAAGGACAGAGTCACTGCCATATTGCCAGTTATTTGAGACTTGTAGAGAATTAGATTGGATATAGTAATCAGATCGAACACTAATTGATAAAAGATGGAACAAAGCCAATAAAAAAAAAAAAGCTTACAATCTGCTGAAGAGAAGTGGAGAAAACGGCAGTACAAGCACAAATGAAACCTTTGGCATTAACCTTAACATCAGTCACAGTACAAATCCCAACTCCTACAACAACAACCATCACAGATGCTTTCACTTCTCTCGAGTAATGCTTGCTATGTAGAACCCATTCCATCACGCAAACAACCGGAATCATGCTCAATTTCGATATCTAGATTGAAAATTAACACCAAAAATCAATGCAAAAAAAATCTCAAAATCTCAGAGGGAAGTTTGATTATTAATATACCTGGTAGAAGCCAACAGAGTTCAACATAAGACTGAAATTCATAGCAGCGATTGAAATGTTAGCTACGATTGAGAACCAAAGAAGCTCCCAAATAGGAACATGCTTGGATGCAGATAATCCAGTCGCGTTCGATACCATACCAACGAGAGCAGTGAGAGCGAAGTGGAATCCCGTAAGAGTTGTCGCTGAAAAACAAACAAACAAAATCCATAAGAGATCTCTCAAATCACGATCCGTGAAAT